AAAGAACATGTTATGGGAAGGAGCAGTAATGATTTTATATGCTTGGATTGGTCTTGGACACTTGCCATATTATGGCCTATTTTATTCATTCTAGAGTATATATCATGTTTCCATGTTACTTATAGTGTTTATTATATCATATTAGATCAATTCTGATAGATAAATAAGCCATAGAGTTGATATTAGCATTATATTGAAGTATTTTCTCCTGCTCCTGGGATGTTTCATTGGGAGCTGGAATGGCGTAATGGCATTTCAGTTAATTTCAATGAGAAAAATTGATTTGATATATGAGTAAATTGAGTTATAAGCTTGGTCATGGAACGAATTAAACTCATAAGACAAGGTACCATTGTACACTGCCCTAGTGTATATATCGAGGTAAGATTCAGTTTCAGAAATAGGACAGCAGGTTTCTGGGCTGAATTCCATATTGGTTTGACTAGATCAGCTAATCAGACATATACCCACACATACACCCTCTATTCTACACAGAAATGGCTAACCTCTGACCTTGTGTTTGGGTTAAGATAACTATGGGACATTTTCTAGTGGTTTCCATCTGACTTTTTTGGGTTATCCTAGGTTCTCTACACATATGCTGCTATGTATGATAATTCTATGTAACTGTATTGTGTATATCTGAATAAATTTACTTACTTACTTACTTAGCACAAGACGTACTAGTGACAAGAAGATTTTATCTATTTCAGAAAAGAAGTGGGATGAAATAGGCCTCAAAGTAGCAGAAATCATAAATTTTTAGTGGTTTTTCTTGGACAGGAGACACTGTCCATGGCAAAGTCTGAAACACTACAGATCCTTGTGGACTGAACCTGTTCTCAACAGTGGTGAACCCCAAGAGCTAGACAATACTAGTGTCAAGATAAGATAAGATTTCGTTCGGATTTTTAACCCTGGAGGGTTGGCCGTCCAGGATAACCCAAGAAAGTCAGTGCATCATCGAGGACTGTCTAACTTATTTCCATTGGGGTCCTTAATCTTGTCCCCCAGGATGCGACCCACACCAGTCAACTAACACCCAGGTACCTATTTGCTGCTAGGTGAACAGGACAACAGGTGTAAGGAAACGTGTCGAAATGTTTCCACCCACTGGGAATCGAACCCGGGCCCTCCATGTGTGAAGCGGGAGCTTTAGCCACCAGGCCACCGGGCCAGGACCTCTATGACTCGAAGCAACCAAGAGGTGTGTATTTCTAGGTGTACATACAGTACACTGAAAGTTTACCTCACCTCCTATTTCAAGGATTAAAGTTTTCTGAACTGGTGGTCTTAATGACTTTTGTGTACTTAACCCTTTCAGGGTCCATCCCGAAGATCTATGGCTTTACGTTCAGGGTCCAAACCATAGATCTACGCCATGAGCTCAGCTCACTCTGATAAGCTGTGAGTGGTAAATTTGGGCCTAGATATGAGAGAATACATCTATGTGGTATGTGTGCACCACATAAAACAAATCCTGCAGCACAGTGTATGAGAGAAAAAAAATGAGACCTTGATTTTCGATTAAAACAGTGACTTTGCAGTGTTTTTTCGTATGTTTGTTATAGTTGTATTTGCGATTTCTTGGTCTCATTTGAAAGAATAGAAGACATATTACAGAAATAGAGATAATTTTGATTGGTTTTAGCACTGGAAATGGTTTGAAACTGAGCTCAAAGTAGCAGAAATGTTAAATTTTGGCCGATGTTCAAGAGTAAACAAACGACTTCACACGTCTAATACACACCATCTGGTGGGTCTAACATACATTCACAAATGTGATGATGATATTTATACAATTATTACAATATTGCATAACAGTAAATCTTCTATTTTTTGGTTTGAATAAAAATTCATTATGTGAATAAAAAATCAAAATGGAATTCATTTGTAAAGCCTCAAAACATAACTAATGAACAGAGGAAATGTTAGTTTAGTGCCAGGAATATGTACATTGTTTATTCTGGACCCTATTTTGAAATTGGAATATTTTGAACTTTGTGTTAAATTGACCAAATTACCAGTTTCCAATCACTTTATTTTGTAGTTGAAACAGTTGACTTGGTGATTGCTTGTGCTCAATCGATAGAATAGTACTAATACTAGTGAAATAGCTAAGAATTTGGTCGACTGGAATAATGTAATTGGCCTAAAATGGGAGTCAAAGTCGGCAAAATCACCAATTCATAAATATCGCTGAAACATCAAAATTCGCGAGAGCATAATTTCGTCAATATTCCATCAAATTTCGTACTTTTTGTTTTATTACCTTCAGAAAATGATTCTCTACCATTTCATAAGAAAAAATAACAAAAATTTTTTTTGAAAATTCTTGGACACTGGTTCACCCTTTGAAATTTGGCCTCTGGACCCTGAAAGGGTTACTATGCTTTTAAACCTAACAAACCAGTCAACCAACCCAACCATTTACAGGTAACTTTCTTGGATGAAAGCCAGTTTAAATGTTGACTGGAAGAGATGCTGCAATAAGTACTTAACCCTTTCAGGGTCCATCCCGTAGATCTATGGCTTTACGTTCAGGGTCCAAACCGTAGATCTACGCCATGAGCTTGGCTCACTCTGATAAGCTGTGAGCAGTAAATCTGGGCCTAGATATGAGAGAATATATCTATGTGGTATGTGTGCACCACATAAAACAAATCCTGCAGCACACAGTGCATAATGCGAGAAAGAAAACTGAGACCGTAATTTTCAATTAAAACAGCGACTTTACAGAGTTTTTTCGTATGTTTTTTATGGTTGTATTTGTGATTTCTTGGTCTCATTTGATAGAATGAAAGATATATTACAGAAATAGAGATGATTTTGATTGGTTTTAGTACTGGAAATGGCTTGAAACTGAGCTCGAAGTAGGAGAAATGTTAAATTTTTGCCGATGTTCAAGAGTAAACAAATGACCTCACACGTCTAATACACGCCAGCTGGTGGGTCTAATATACATTCATAAATGTGGTGATATTATTTATACAATTATTACAATATTGCATAACAGTATATCTTCTATTTTTTGCTCTGAATAAAAATTCATTATGTGAATAAAAAATCAAAATGGAATTCATTTGTAAAGTCTGAAAACATAACTAATGAACAGAGGAAATGTTAGTTTAGTGCCAGAAATGCCTGCATTGTTTATTCTGGACCCTATTTTGAAATTGGAATATTTTGAACTTTGCATTAAATTGGCCAAATTACCAATTTCCAATCACTTTATTTTGTAGTTGAAACAGTTGACTTGGCGATTTCTTGTGCTCAATCAACAAAATAGAAGTAATACTAGTGAAATAGCTAAGAATTTGGTCGACTGGAATAATGTAATTGCCTAAAATGGGAGTCAAATTCGGCAAAATTGCCGATGTGTAAATATCGCTGACACATCAAAATTCACGAGAGCATAATTTCATCAATTTTCCATCAAATTTCATACTTTTTGTTTAATTACCTTCAGAAAAAGATTCTCTACCATTTCATAAGAAAAAATAACAAAATTATTTTTTGAAAATTCTTGGACACTGGTGCACACTTTGAAATTTGGCCTCTGGACCCTGCATGAGTTAAAGGGTGAACCCTAGAACTACCTACCCCATGCATTAGAAATGAGTTCCATGATTCTGAGAAAGTTAGTATGCATCAGCTGTAAAAAACAGAAATCATGAGAAGCTGAAATAAGACCACTCATACTCCACCCCACTGCATCCTTCATGGATATACATGAACACAATAGATCTTTGGGCAAGAACGCAAGAGGATATCACAAAATAATAGGCAATACTTACCCAACCAGTGTCCAAAGAAAACACACGTATCACCTTTCCCCAGTTTCTACGGTACACAGACTTATCTTAATTCCTGATAACAGGAGAGTAACCACCTGGTGAAGCAGAAAGAATGTAGTCAGCCTAAAGACATCCTTGTAAAAAAATGAACCAGGAATGCTGGATGACAACCAATAAACCATTTGACTGATAATGTATCTGGTTGGATCCAGTTCATAAAAAGTAAGAAATGAGAAAGAAATATAAATTAGGAGAGCACAGCGAGCTGAAATGTGGTGGTGAAGAGAGTTCAATTCCTAGTGAGTAATTAGAAACCAGATGCAGGAAATATGTTGTACTTTCTAAGAATTCGGATAAACCATCTAAACAACTAATTTTAGAATCTTCCTACAACTTTCTAGCTCAACTAGCCCTTTTTTCCATTCATTAATGGTTATTTTCTATGTAAAGTCTGAGCCCACAATGACAACCATTCACACACACACACACCATGCCCTCATACTTGTTGTCCACTACCAGAAAAAATTTTTACTGAAAATATAACTGAATTGTCAAGTAACAGGCTTAAATAGTTGATAAGTTTATTGAGCCCACATATTCCTCTAGAGGGAAGAAAGATGATAGATATCTTCAGTGTTTAATACAAAGGCATGCAGAAGAGTGAAGTCTCATGATTTGTGTTCTCCTGTGACAATGGAAGGAAGCTTCACTATTAGTCACAAAAAGCATATCCAGTACAATACTTACATAGTAATGTTTTTACTGACAACCACTTATGTTCCGTGGTTCGGTCGGCAATATTCTTGCTTCACACAGTGTGTCCATGGCATGGGTGGGAATGTTGGACAAGTTTCCTTACACCTGCTGTCCAAGTTCACCTAGCAATAAGTAGGTACCTGGGTGTTAGTCGACTGGTGTGGGTCACATCCTGGGGGACAATAGGCACCTGGGTGTTAGTCGACTGGCATGGGTCACATCCTGGGGGACAAGATTAAAAAACCCCAGTGGAAATAAGACAGACAGTCCTTTATAACCCACTGACTTGCTTGGGTTATGCTAGGTGGCTAACCCTCCGGGTTAAAAATCCATATAAATCTTGTCTTATCTCACATATAAATTTTATTATGTACACATGCTCTACTTACAAAAGTACATACATAGAGTACTGTATATTTCAAAATATTCTACATCATTTTTACTTACCAAACATAAAAGAAAAGCACCATTTCCAGAGCCCACATCAATGACAGAAGTCTGTTGATTCACCACATCAGACTCCATCATCCACTGGATGACACGGTCAATACTCTCTTCTCCAAACCAGATGTCCCCAATATTTCCATCACTTTTATAGTTTGCCAACTCAAGTTCATATGCAGAATCCCAACTGAAAGTATAAACAGTGAATTATTTTTTTTTCAAAACAGCCTCTCTTCACTTACTGACGGAGTTTCGTTCCTAAGACAAACGTTTTCTGTAATGGTCACAGTCACTTTTTTTTTTTTATCCTTCCTTGCCCTCCATCCTTTAACCCTTTCAGGGTCCCCAGGTCCTCTCCCACACTTGTTCTCAGGGTTGCCCAAATTTCAAAAAAGAAAAAAAATTATTTTTTCTTATGAAAAGATAGAGAATCTTTTCCTGATCATAATGACACCAAAAGTATGAAATTTGATGGAAAACTTATGGAATTATGCTCTCGCGAAGTTAGCAGTCTCGACGATGTTTACACATCGGCGATTTTGCCCAATTTGAGCCCTATTTTCGGCCAATTCCAGTGAACTAGTCAACAAAAATCATAACTATTTCACTAGAACTCCATTTTTTCTATCGAATGAGTACAAGAAACCACCCATTTACTGATTTCAACTATCCAATACAGTGGTCAGAATTTAGCAATTTTGCCAATTTCACACAAATTTTAAAAGATGCCAATTTCCAAATAGGGTCCAGAATAAACAAGAAAGACAGTCCTGGCACTAAAATAACATTTCCTCTGTTCATCAGCCACGTCCCCACGCCCCTCTTACATTCTTTTGCTTTCCACTTCGAATTTTTATTCTCACAAAAAATAGAAGATTTACTGTTATGCAGACTACTGCATTAGTGTAGAAATGATATAAATAATATCAGCGCACTTGTGAAAGAATATTAGACTCACCAGTTAATGTGTATTGGACACTTAGCATGATTTGTTTACTTTTGAACTTTGGTAAAAATTGAACATTTCTGCTACTTTGAGCTCAATTTCAAGGTACTTTTCATTGTAAAACCAGTCAAAATCATCTCAATTTCTGTAATATGTCTTCCATTCTATAAAATGAGACCAGGAAAATTAGAATACAACAATAAATACCATACAAAAATACAGTGCAAAGTCGCTGTTTTAATCCAAAAACACGGTCAAAGTTTTTTTTTTTTCATTACGCACCGTGTGCTGCAGGATTTTTTTTATACTGTGCACACTGACCACATAGACCCATTCTTTCATATGTAGGCCTACCAGCTTTCTCTCACTAGATTTGAGGGCGCTAGAAATTAGGCGTACTAGCACGTCAAAAACCCTGGTGCGTAAGCCGTATTAGTACATCTGAAACCCTAAAAGGGTCAATACTTCTTTATATAATGTCAGTTTTTATTAATTTGGGCATCTTTATCATGCTTCTACATTACTTATGTTATACCTAATATTTATGTTATACCTAATATTAAATATGTATAATAGAAAGAAAAAATAAAATCAAAATGAAACTCCAACTTGATAACTTGATTTTAATTTGCATAACTCTTATATACAGGTCCACATCCCTTTACCCGAAATTCTGAAACTCGAAAAGTTCTGAAAATCGAAGTTTTTTCGTGAAGTGTGGAGCATCAGTCATCCCAGCACTGACAGCCAGAGTGGCAGGTGTCAGTTGTGTCTCATTGCTTGTAGTATTCACACGTGCATCTGCTGTTCACTGATATTTTGTTTTTGCTTTTTATTTTGTGACTGTGTTTAATTTCACTGTGAAAATGTCAAATACAGCCTCAGATACCCTTATGAGTGACAGTGAGAAAAAGAAAAGGAAGCATCTGACGTTATCAATAATGCAGAAAGTAAAGTTACTGCAGAAGCTTGATTGTGGTGTGTCAGTGCAGCGACTTACTGAAGAATAAGGTGTTGGAACTACCACTGTTTATGTTAAATATGAATAAGCATGAGAATAGTAGTGATGATGATGATATTGTGAACACAGGTGAAAAAGTCCCCACAGATGATATGGTGAAAATGTGTGACCAGTTAATTGCTGGCCTTGAACAATGTACATTTATCAGTGAGCAAGAGATTATGGCAATTTACTCAGTTAAAGAGAGATTGCTTAGACAGAAACCTATGTTAACCCTTTGACTGTTTTGGCTGTATATATACACCTTACGAGCCAATGTTTCTGACATATTAATATGCGTAAATTCTAGTGGCTTCAAATCAAGCGGGAGAAGGCTGGTAGGCCTACATGTGAGAGAACGGGTCTGCGTGATGGATGTGCGCACTATGAAAAATGTCGGGGACTCAGTAGTGCATTGTGGGAATGCCATCTTAGTAGTCCTTGTTCACCATGCCTCGCGGTAAGAAGTACCTTACTCCTCACCAAACTGGAGATCTACTGTTCCCAAGTGATAGTTCTAACACCGATGGAAGTACGTACCAGTGAAAGTGAATTCCATGGTTTTCAGGAGGCTGTGACCAAAAGCAGTGCCCAGGATAACGTAATTAGTGATGAAAACATAGATGACCCACAACCTTCCACCTCTGGTGTTGGGCCATCTCATTCATGTTCACTGTACCAGAATGAAAAAGGAAAGTATTTCTCCGTTTACAGGACTCGGATGTAAGCAGTGAAAGTGATAGCGATAGTGATTTCCAAGTTACTGAAAGCAGCTCGAGCTGCGACAGTGAGGGGGAATACAGTAGAACCTCGGCTTACGAATGCCCCACCATGCAAATTTTTCAGGATAAGAACTGTCATTTGGGCGAATTTTTGCTTCTGGATATGAACAAAATTTCAGGATGCAAACTTGCCCCTCAAGGGAGGTTCCTTAACCCTTAAACTGTCCAAACGTAGATCTACGTTCGCCTGCATGGAGCTCCAAATATTTTGAAAAATAAGAAAAATCGTTTTTTGTTTTTAAATTAAAGAGGGGTATTTTCTGTATGGTATAAGACCAAAAAAAATTTTAGGACCAGTACTTACCAAGATATAAGACCGTGAAGTTGGCTCTGGATGCTCACCTGACCGCAACGTCCAGTCCTGCAGCTTACAGAAGTGTTGCCGATTTGCCTTTTTTTCTCATTTTTATTTTAGTTTATATAATTTTTATGTTCTGATAATTACAATTTGTAATAGTTCTTGTGATTTAATAGCCAATCTTTGTTCTGACACTAATATTATGTACCAAAATAGTACTCAAATTGTAACAATCACACTGACAGGTGAACATTTTTCACCTGCCCTGGTCATTTACTATTGTCTAGAAGTACAGTGGACCCCCGCATAACGATTACCTCAGAATGCGATCAATTATGTAAGTGTATTTATGTAAGTGCGTTTGTATGTGTATGTTTGGGAGTCTGAAATGGACTAATCTACTTCACAATATTTCTTATGGGAACAAATTCGGTCAGTACTGGCACCTGAACATACTTCTGGAGTGAAAAAATATCGTTAACCGGGGGTCCACTGTATATACAAAGTATTTATAGGTCCCAGCAATGTTTTAGACACACTGGAGTATGAACCTCCTTGAAGCATGGTGTTATGACAAGGGTCAGAATGTGCCCTGCTGGAGGGGGGAACCTTGCCTTTAAATGTTTTGACTCTTGCACACAAACATGTCTTTGTATGTCTGTCTGTCAGTCTATCTGTTTGCCTATCTGTCTGCCTGTCTGTCTGTCTATCTGTACATCTGTCTGTCTATCTGTACATCTGTCTGTACATCTATCTGTCTATCTGTACATCTATTTGTCTGTCTGCCTGTCTCTCTGCCTAGTTCTGCTTATCTGTCTGTCCAGTTCAGCTTATCTGTCTTTCTGTCTTGTGTGTGTGCCTGGAGTGTAACATGAGCTCCTTGAATAATTGTATTATGACAGCATCAGATAACAGTGACATTTGATGAATGTGTGCCCCTGGAGGGGAAACCTTGCCTTTATATTCAATTCAATTCAAAGTTTATTCTCTATAAGGATTACAATGCTGAGTTTACACACAAACATGTCTCTGTATGTCTGTCTATCTGTACATCTATCTATCTGTACATCTATCTGTCTGTCTATCTCTATCTGTACATCTGTCTGTCTATCTATACATCTATCTGTCTGTCTGTCTGCCTATCTCTGCTTATCTATCTGTCTAGTCCAGCTTATCTGTCTTTCTGTCTGCCTGTGTGTGTCTGTCTTTCCATCTGCTTGTCTCTGTCTCAGGGAGTGGCTAGTAAACCTGTTGGTTTGTGGTGTATGTGCTGCTCCCTGATTGCTGAGCAAGTGACACTGCTATTATTTGCATCATGTTTATTAATGTCTTATATCTACAAACACTGTACAGCACTTGGCCTGGAATTTTTGGGTTATCCTTGGTAATTTATATTATGTATAATAACTGTATTTATGAGTACATGTGAGAGACAGAGATACAAATAGACAGTGATATAGACAGAGATATAAACAGATAGAAAGATATACAGAGATATAGACAGATAGGCAGAGACATAGAGATATAGACAGATATATAAACAGAGACAGCCAAAGCCAGCCAGCTAGCCAGCCAAATACATAAGAACATAAGTGTTATAGGACTATAGGACCCAACACATATTGATGTATATAAGTAACAGTTATTCTGGAATACCTAATTATATTGAACTGATGGGGACACAGCACTAAATTTCATAAGGGCAGATCACCCTTATGGCTGTAAGGCAGCTGGGTCAAGCCTGTTTTCTCAATATAATAGTTTATACTATAGACACACACACACACAATTTAAATAAGTAGTTTATAAAGCTTATTTCTTTTGTAAAAGTAAGTGTGGTAGAGTTGTGGTAACTAGAGAATTGTGCTTGGCAACAGTCTTTTGTTGTTTTGGTGGGTGTGGGAGGAGCTTAGCTAGGCTCCTCCCTCTCACTCATACTCTTTGTTGGCTTCAAGCTGGCTCAAATTGGGTGAAATCGACGATGGGTAAACGTCGTTGAGACCACTAACTTCGCGAGAGCATAATTCTCTAAGTTTTCCATGAGAATTTCATACTTTTGGTGTCATTATGATCGGGAAAAGATTCTCTATCATTTCATAAGAAAAATAATTTTTTTCTTTTTTTTTCGAAAAATATCTGACCCTGAGAACAAGTTTAGGAG